CTTCCTGCGAACTAACTCAAAAACTACGGCCAATATTGAGTAAATGAAATATTCAGGTGGTCATGAAGGAAAAATCAACACTTTCCACAAGTCTACCAGCGCAACATGAAAAGGTAGACAAATTGGACTGTTCAGGAGTTTACTGTATATCCTGCGGCGGCTGCGGACAGAAATATATTGGCGAAACAGGAAGAAAAATTAGTACACGAATTAAGGAACATCAGAGGCTCTGCAAGAAAATGGATACCGAAAGATCAGAAATAGCTGAACACATCGCACAAACTGGACACGAGATCAATTGAAAAACAACAGAAAGGAAAGCTCCATACGGTGACAAACAAAGAAGCGGAAGATTAGGGAGGCCATTGACATCCTTGGGGATACAAATCTAATTAACAGGAGATTGGAGTAAGGTAGACTTAGCGATAGCTTTGCCTACTGCCTAAGCAAAATCGGAGAAAACAATAGAGTAAGACCAGCAAAAAGGATACGCTTGGAGCAGGGATCTGCCGGTAACCGGAGGAAAAGGGCTTGCGAAGAGGAAAGGGGGTGCGGGGGTATTCGGCAATTAAGCGAAGACGCTGTCAGTGAGTGATGACCATTTGAATAAACCAGTACAACTTTGGGTGCCTGGCAGTTAGGGAGCTGATCAGACGGATAAGCACACCGTCATAGAAATCAGTGGTTCTGGCCAAAATGCACTAGAAATGCACTAGAAATCCACTTGGGATGCCGCATTCGACCAGAGATAGGCAGGCACATTTTGCTCAGATAACATGTGTTTAATCAAGGAGACGACCAGTGTAGTGAAGGCCTGATATCTACAAACATGGCAATCAGAGCTAAAGCGCTTCGTTCAGTAAAGCGGTAGTGTATGTGCTTCTAGGGCCTTGAGAAATAGCGCCAGGAGTGAAATGCACACAGGGACTGGACCCGAGTGAAATCGGCCAACTAGAAAGATAAGCAACGGATCTACGAGACAATGAAAGAATCCGGATTGGGAGCCCGAGTGGGATAAGCCCATCGAAAGAGAGGGGTCGAGGTAAATAGCAGGTGTGATGAGGCCAC